CTGGCTACCATACATACCGCACTTGATTTCTTACAATAAATACTACTCATCTCACCCTAGATTAAGACTACAAATATTTTAAGGTAAGTAATGACTGAACTGTACAGGTCTCCCTCAACATTCACGAGGGTTAGGGGATCAAGACCCTCGCGAATGTTGAAAAACCGTGAATGTTTGGTGCCCCAATATATTGTAGGGAAATATAATACAATACTGCTTCCTTAACTTGTTGAACCATGAACAATCATAAAATACATGAAAACGTCGTAAATTGTACTAAATACACACGTTATGCCTTAACAACATATATGTTATTAAATACCACTGCCTCCACCACTGCAAGTCCCTACTACCCTCCCTCCGACCCCCCACAACTGGCAGCCAGCCCTCCCACCACTGTGTGGTGAGTGTTTTGTTTGTTTATTTGCTATTAAACTACAGTATAAATAATGTCAACCCATTTATGACTCCATATTGGAATGGCTATTCGGACAGGTATTGGAAGGTGACATCATGTGTTTACTCTTGAACACAGCAAAGAATCAAACATTTCTGCTACTGCTAATAATAATAATAATAATAATAATAATAATAATAATAATAATATAAAAATAATAATAATATAATAAAAATAATAATACATATTAATAATAATAATAATAATAATAATAATAATAATAAAAAAAGCTCAAGTTAGAGTATGTAGGAAAGAGGGAAATTATTTCCCAGTAAAAGTAGGCCTTAGACAAGGATGTGTGATGTCACCGTGGCTGTTTAATATATTTATAGATGGGGTTGTAAGAGAAGTAAATGCGAGGGTCTTGGCAAGAGGCGTGGAGTTAAAAGATAAAGAATCACACAAAGTGGGAGTTGTCACAGTTGCTCTTTGCTGATGACACTGTGCTCTTGGGAGATTCTGAAGAGCAGTTGCAGAGATTGGTGGATGAATTTGGTAGGGTATGCAAAAGAAGAAAATTGAAAGTGAATACAGGAAAGAGTAAGGTTATGAGGATAACAAAAAGATTAGGTGATGAAAGATTGGATATCAGATTGGAGGGAGAGAGTATGGAGGAGGTGAATGTATTCAGATATTTGGGAGTGGACGTGTCAGGGATGGGTCTATGAAAGATGAGGTGAATCATAGAATTGATGAGGGGAAAAGGGTGCGTGGTGCACTTAGGAGTCTGTGGAGACAAAGAACTTTGTCCTTGGAGGCAAAGAGGGGAATGTATGAGAGTATAGTTTTACCAACGCTCTTATATGGGTGTGAAGCATGGGTGATGAATGTTGCAGCGAGGAGAAGGCTGGAGGCAGTGGAGATGTCATGTCTGAGAGCAATGTGTGGTGTGAATATAATGCAGAGAATTCGTAGTTTGGAAGTTAGGAGGAGGTGCGGGATTACCAAAACTGTTGTCCAGAGGGCTGAGGAAGGGTTGTTGAGGTGGTTTGGACATGTGGAGAGAATGGAGTGAAACAGAATAACTTCAAGAGTGTATCAGTCTGTAGTGGAAGGAAGGCGGGGTAGGGGTCGGCCTAGGAAAGGTTGGAGGGAGGGGGTAAAGGAGGTTTTGTGTGCGAGGGGCTTGGACTTCCAGCAGGCATGCGTGAGCGTGTTTGATAGGAGTGAATGGAGACAAATGGTTTTTAATACTTGACGTGCTGTTGGAGTGTGAGCAAAGTAACATTTATGAAGGGGTTCAGGGAAACCGGCAGGCCGGACTTGAAGCCTGGAGATGGGAAGTACAGTGCCTGCACTCTGAAGGAGGGGTGTTAATGTTGCAGTTTAAAAACTGTAGTGTAAAGCACCCTTCTGGCAAGACAGTGATGGAGTGAATGATGGTGAAAGTTTTTCTTTTTTGGGCCACCCTGCCTTGGTGGGAATCGGCCAGTGTGATAAAAAAAAAATAAAAAAATAATAATAATAATATAATAACAATAATAATAATAATAATAAATACGATAGAATTGAAGAAGGAAATTGTACAAAAATACGAGGGCTGAAGCAGTGGTGGAGGAAGTGGTTGACGCAGCGTCAGTGTGGCTTTGTTTATGCTGGAGTATTAGTCTCCGTGCTCTTCCAAACATTTCACAATAATTCATTGTATTTGGTGCTTGTAGATTGAGTGTGACTGGAGTGGTTGAGGCAGTGGTAGAGGCAGTGATAGAGGCAGTGGTAGAGGCAGTGGGTGAGGCAGAGGTATTTACTAATATATATGTTATAAATAATAATAGTACATGTTAATATTAATAACATTTATAATAATAATAATAATAATAAATGTTATTCATAATGTACTATTATTATTTATAACATATATGTTAGTAAATATCACTGCCTCTACCACTCTCACCCACTGCCTCTACCACTGCCTCACCCACTGCCTCACCCACTGCCTTTACCACTGCCTTTACCACTGCCTCTACCACTGCCTCACCCACTGCCTCAACCACTCCAGTCACACTCAATCTACAAGCACCAAATACAATGAATTATTGTGAAATGTTTGGAAGAGCACGGAGACTAATACTCACTCCAGCATAAACAAAGCCACACTGAGGCTGCATCAACCACTTCCTCCACTACTGCTTCAGCCCTCGTATTTTTGTACAATTTCCTTCTTCAATTCTATCATATTTATTATTATTATTATTATTATATTAATATTATTATTATTATTATTATTATTATTAGCAGTAGTAGAAATGTTTGATTCTTTGCTGTGTTCAAGAGTAAACACACGATGTCACCTTCCAATACCTGTCCGAATAGCCATTCCAATATGCAGTCATAAATGGGTTTACATTATTTATACTGTAGTTTAATAGCAAATAATGAACAAACAAAACACTCACAACACAGTGGTGGGAGGGCTGGCTGCCAGTTGCAGGGGTCGGAGGGAGGGTAGTAAGGACTCGTGGCGGTAAACTTAAATATGATTTGGCAGCTGGGAATTTGGCGGTTGGGAATTCACGAATGTGTGAAGCCCGCGAAAGTTGAAAACGTGAATCTTGAGGGAGACCTGTATATGCATTTTATCGCTCTGGGATGCTTAAATGTAATAGAATATTATGTGTAGGTGGGGTGGTCTGGTACAGTAGCCCAGCTGACTACCATACATACCACACTTGATTTCTTACAATAAATACTACTTGTCTCACCCTAGATTAAGACTACAAATATTTTAAGATAAGTAATGAGTGCACTCTGTGTGTATTTTACTTTTTTATTGTTTTTTGATGCATAGTTCTATTGCTAACTTAATACACCTACCATCCGACTTACGACCTGCTCGACTTACGACCACTCAACTTACGACCGTGTTTTTTATGCCAAATTTCTGGGAAATAAACAACTATTTGTGTTGTACACAGTGTTTATCTTCAACCTTACAGTATAAAAAGTAAAGTAAAACATGAAATACCAAAATAAAACAATAAAATAAAGTCATTACAAAAATGTTTTGTTGATATTCATTAATAAAGTTCGACTTACGACCATTTTGACTTACGACCGGTTTCTCGGAACCAAACTCGGTCGTAAGTCGGATGGTAGGTGTATATGTTAGTGTAAACTTGTTATCTGGTATTTGTATGCATTTATAAGGGGGAAAAAAAGGGTTTTCCCACTTTAGGCGATTTCCGCTTTACGGCGGTAGCCTGGAACCTAACCTGCCATATAAGTGAGGCCCTACTGTATATACTGTAATAAAGACAATAAAGGAAATCAGCTCTAATGTACATTATTTAGGTAAGCATACTTGTCAGAGAGCCTGTCATAAGTTTGAGTCATCGGTAAATGAGTATGTCACTAAGCGAGGAAAGGCTGTAGTGAAACTTTACTATGTATGTTTGGCCAATATTAGAATACACGTACGTAATATGATCTTGTGCAAAGACCAGGGAACAAGTGTTCTTTGGAATGCAAAGACCAGGGAAAGTGTTCTTTGGAACATCCTTTACTTTCGTCTTAATCCATTGAATCACGTACATACTTAAGAAAGTACATACATACCCTGCTCATAAATTATCCAGAACCTAGTGTCATACATTTCTGAGGCACTGGCTGAGATACTGAGTGGGGAGGATAAGTAAGTTTATTTAGGTACAGGTACATATAAGTACACTACATGGGGAAGTGGAAAAGAATTCTTCCTCCATAAGCCATGTGTGTCATAAGAGGCGACTAAAATGCCGGGAGCAAGGGGCTAGTAACCCCTCCTCCTGTATAAATTACTAAATTAAAAAATTAAAACTTTTCAGACAAACTTTTGTTTTTCTTTTTAGGTGACCCTACGGCCGGTTTGTTGAAAAAAAAAAACTCATAAGTTATCATACCTAATAACATATGTTTAAATTACTAGGATTTCCCAAAAGTCAGGATGCTATCAACAGGTTCGTTTTTTTGTTGAGGGCAGTTCATGCCTGCTCAGGACCACTTATCTTCACGAGCACATTGTCCTTTAATATTGGAAGAATATCACTACAGGGATTAGACAAGCCACCTCCAATTAACCCCTAAATAAAACAAGATGAGAAACAGGATGGCATAGAGTATATGAAAGATGCCACATCTGTCACCCTGCTTTTAAATGATGAACTGGACAGATATAAAGTAAAATACTGTGCAGCACGTACTAATTCCAAATTGCAGTTTACTTTAAATATCACTGAAATTCCATACCTTGTAAAAAACAAACCTTATAATGAAGTAGTGTCACGATTGCATGTCTACCAATTAATGCAACTTAGCACGACAAATTTAACCCTCTAACTGTCCAAACGTAGATCTACATTCGCTTGCGAAGCGCTCCGAACGTAGATCTACTTTTTTTTTTCATTCTTTATGGAGAAAATCAAGGTTGGAGAGCTACGCGCACAAATGCAGACCTACGTTTGGACTGTTTAAGGGTTAAAAATGCTGCACAGCACCTTACAAAGTGGTACTTTATTCTGTTTTTAAAGATTAATTTTGCACTTGAGAAATATTACATTTACATTACCTTTGCACCATGGATTGAAGAGTATAAAGAAAGTATCCTTGCAAGGATAACTATAGGCCTTATCTCCCGACTGGACATCCACTTCCAGTTTCCACTCTCCAATAATAGCCTTGCTGGATATGTTCACCTGAATTGTAAAAGATTAGGGTTTACACTCTTCTACTAATCAATATTAAGTTGTTTACATGCTGCACAAGGTATAAATTATAGCAGTGGTTTGTAATTCATAGACCTAATACTGCAAGCATGTTCAAATGGTAAAGTTCTTTGTGCTACACTGACTTCGAAACTGATAATATTGTAACAACTCTCAACTGGGAATATTTTGTTTTGCCTTAATTCATGTGTTCTAATACTGTATGTTTATGTCTGCTTAATATAATATGTCTAATACAGTGGAACCTCAAAAATCGAACTTAATCCGTTCCAGGAGCTAGTTCTAAATTCGAAAAGTCTGAAATTCGAAGCAATATTTCCCATAAGAAATAATGAAAATACAATTAATCTGTTCCAGAAACCCAAAAATATTCACACAAAAAATACATTTTATAGAGATTAATTACAGTTTTACATACAACAAATACTATAGTTTTTAATTATGTATAGTAATACATATAAAATAACATTTTTACTTACCTTTATTGAAGATTGGTGATGACATCTGGAAGATAGGGAGGAGGAGAGAGGGAGTCGGGGTTAGTGTTTGGAAGGAGAATCCCCCTCCATGAGGACTTCAGGTAAAGCCCTCTCTGGGGTTACTTCCCTTCTCTGTCTTTTAATGCCACTAGGACCAGCTTGAGAGTCACTGGACCCCTGTCTCACAAAATAACTGTCCACAGTCCTCTGTTTCTGGTGCCTCTTTAACATTTCCCTAAAATGGGACATGGTTCTGTCACTGAACTTGTTGCAAAGATGGCTTGTTTCAGCTTGCTCAGGGTGGTACTTCTGCACAAACATTTGGACATCATTCCACTTGGCACAAATCTCCTTAATCTTTGAAGAAGGCACCTCATCCACTCCCTATATTAACACCTTTCGCAACATCAGCTTCCTTGATTTGTTCTTTCTTTGACAGGATAGAACCGATGGTCGACTTGTTTTTCTCATACATCCTGGCAAGCTCAAGTCTCACACCACTCTCATACTTATGTATTATTTCCTTCTTCACATCTATGGTGTTTCTCACTTTCTTTACCACAAGTTTTTTTGGGCCCATGGCAGCTTATTTCACAGTCCCACAAGCACTAAACACAACGAAATAATCGTTAAATGCGTGAATGAGAGTGCAGGTTAGTGTTCACTCAAGCATAAACAAAGCTAGACTGCTCACGGCGCCTATGCGGGGACGCGGACAGAGCGAGTGGCAGACAGGTCCCATACCCGGCGGTCCGAAAATAGGGGTGCGTTTGATAATAGGGACACAGTTTGTCCGAAAAAATGGTCCTATTTTCAAAACGTTCGATATGTGATATGTTCGATTTTTGAGGTTCCACTGTACCTACTATTCTGTATATACAACAATCAATCTGACCACAGAGTGATTTTTTTTGTATACCAGCATTGGTAAGCCAACAGCTGCTGACATGGGTAGCATGTGCATGTGTCCTTGAGCATAATGTTGTGCCATCCCCATGCTACACCACTGAATGAGTCACCTTATGATAATAATTCAGGTCAGGTAATTTTGCTTGTGTAATAAACCAACAAGATGTTAAATTTTAAAGTGTTATACAGTACATCTTGCAATGAGAACTTAGTTGTAATGAGACACAAAACAAGAAGACAATTTTAAATTTAAAACCCTTCCCTCCCTCAAGGAAGGTGCCATAATGCCAGAAAAGTACTTGTGATCCAACGAATTAGACCTGTCATCTTCCTTGGATCAACTCTGATTGCCTCCCGTTCCCCATGTGCTGTGTGACCCTACATCTTTAAAAAGAGATTGGACAAATATACGAGTGGGAGGGGCTGGGTTTGATTGGTGTCGTGGGTATGGGAGTAAATTCTTGGGTAGCTTTGGGAAGGGGTGGTTTTGATAAAAACCTGCCTTGTATGGGCCAGTAGGCCTTTTGCAGTGTTCCTCCATTCATATGTTCTTAATAATAATAATAATAATAATAATAATAATAATAATAATAATAATAATAATAATAATAATAATAATCCTTTAATGTTTCTGGATAAAGAATTCTTTTCACAAACCCCAAAGTTTTCTTGCACTTATACTGGGAGGCCTATCTAATACATCATCCCCTCAAGGAAGGTTCCTTGATGTTGGTGAGGGGCTCTTGATTTAGGGAATTGGATTTGTGCTCCAGTTCCCCGAATTAAGCCTGAATGCCTTCCACATCCCCCCCCCCAGGTGCTGTATAATCCTCTGGGTTTAGCGCTTCCCCCTTGATTATAATAATAATAATATCTAATACATCTGTGCCTGGGGATTAACTACAGCCAACCACCTTGAACCTTTAATAACCCAACAAAAACCTACTGTGTCGATGATTACCAGCTCCTGTGCCAGACAGCACACCCCACCACTTCAAAAGCCTTAATCTACTAAATATACAAGACATACATTCATATTATTGTGCCTACTATACAGAATACAGAACATTAAACTCCAATATGAACCCTCTGCTTCAACTTCTCCTTGATAGCTACAACAGAACGCACAGTCACAATACAAGGCGCAAGGCACAAGGCACTCTTTGACATGCCTCATGTCAGTCTCACAATATGCAAAGATGCAATGCACATAAAGGGCCCGAAGATCTGGAATTCACTACCTGAACTGGTAAAGGATTCCCTGACTACATACAAATTTAGGGCTATGCTTAAAAATCATCTCATCTCTCAATATTAACCAAACCAACCAAAACAACTTCTAATCAGTTTGAAGCAACTCTCCCAAATATTATATTATATGACCTCTAGTCTATTAAAACACCTGCCAATCCATAAAATATTAGTTTGTAATCATTAATTGTAATATTGTTTTATTATGTGCAACTTCAAAATAATCATTCTTATTAACCTCCACCCTGACTACCTTGCATGAGTATTAACATAAAATAAAGATTTATTAAAAGGTTAGCTGTATAATCCTCTTGGTTTAGCGCTTCCCCCTTGATTATAATAATAATAATATTAAAAGGTTAACTACTGTACTCTTATATTGTCTAAACTTAAGTAGTCATTATGTACTAGGATTAGTCTGTCCAAAATGCCCTGGCAAAATTGTAATTACACACTGTAACCTTTGCAAAGAAATAAAATCTTTACTCTATTTCTTAATCCTACATGTAAGCCTCTTCCTTCTCCCACTTGGAAAAATAATTTTCTTTACAGTCCTGAACATTATACAGGATTTTAATCTTTAAAAGGTTCTGAGAGTTCTACTTCCATATCACACTTTGCTTCCTTATGTGCTGGAATGCAATAAAATTAATGAATTCAGAGACAACTCACTCACAAATGCTCAAGAAATGTCGAAGTATTTTATCCACAGTGATATATTACAAATCATTCTGGAAAAATATCCTGACCTTGCTGCTTGTAAATATGCATAACCCCTTAAACCTGTTTAAATTAAAGCATACTTTGCTAAAATAAAAGATAATATAAACAATTCAGAACAACATATAAGCTACACTAATGATCTTGTGAATTGATTCATGTCTTCATAAATAACTCATTGTGACTGTAACCAGATATAAACATGTAAATACATGTACTGCTTAGTTAACAAAGTTTTATGACCCCGTCCTTGGACTCATTACGTACCTCTGTAACCTTTTGACTACCACCCACACCATGCTTACAGGGTGTATAATAAAGATATTGCAAGGCTTGTCTCATTTTATCACTTAGGTTATTGTGAACAGCTTTGTTAAGCTTTAAAGTTAAAATAGTTATTGATACTTTATAACTCTTTAAAAAAAAAACTGAACATAGAAAATATGTGCCATACCTTGAATGTAATAGAGCAGTCAGATACCTCTTGTATATATGCAGACCAGCCATTATGAGCATCCACACCGATACCAACGCCAACAAGAGTCTGGTTTCCAAAATTAGGACTCTTGGCATCTAAAAAGTACATAACATATAAGTATATAACAAATTTATAGCTTTCGTTATCACAGTAACATGATAATAATTAATATAATCAACCTCTTCTTTAAGGTCTTGCCTCTGCCAAGAGTGAATGATGATGAAATTGCTTCTTTTTTAGGTCACTCTGCCTTGGTGGGGGAAACAGACGATGTGCATAAATAAATAAATTTTCCTATATACAGTGGACCCTCGGGTAATGGCGACATCGGCTAACGCCAAAATCAGATAGCGGCGCATTTTTGCATCAAGATATTGGCTCGGCTAATGCCCAAGAATTCAGTTAAGGGCATTCGTCCTAAACGTGTTCGCCTGTCCGTCTGGCCCGAGTGCCTTCAGCTAGTGTGCCATTGTTTACAAGCCAGTCTGGACGATTCCACGCGTACATGCGATACATTTTGTATTATTCCAGTGTTTTTAGTGCTTGTAACTGCTAAATAACCCACCATGGGCTTAAAGTGCTTCAGAGGAGGAGGAAGAGAGAGTGAGGAAGTTGCCTTCGTCAAAGATTAAGGAGATTTGTAAAATGTGGACAAAGGTGCAAGCATTTATGGATGAAAATTATCCTGACACAGCTGTTGCAAGCCATATTGGCAACATGTACAATGACATTCTTGTGTTCCATTTTAGGGAAGTCTTAAAGAGACGCCAGAAACAGAGCTCTCTGGACAGATATTTTGTGCGACAGGGGTCCAGTGACTCTCAAGCTGGTCCTAGTGGCATTAAAAAACAAAGAAGGGAGGTAACCCCAGAAAAGGACTTGTTACCTGAAGTCTTTATGGAAGGGGATTTCCCTTCCAAACAATAGTACACTTACATTCTCCCCCCTCCTCCCATCTCATCACTCATCAATAAGTCCATAATAAAGGTGTGTCATTTCGGTATTGTTTATTGTGCATGTCTCATTGTTTTCTGTGTAGGGAAATGTATATTTCATGTAAAAAAAATTATTTTGTTTAATACTGGAATGGATTAATTGGATTTCCATTATTTCTTATGGGGAAAATTAATTCGGCTAACATCCAAATCGGTTCAAGGCGAGCTCTCTGGAACGGATTAATGCCGTTACTCGAGGGTCCACTGATATATATATATATATATATATACATGTGTATATATATATATATATATACATGTGTATATATATACAGTGGACCCCCGGTTAACGAACTTTTTTCATTCCAGTAGTATGTTCAGGTGCCAGTACTGACTGAATTTTTTCCCATAAGGAATTTTGTGAAGTAGATTAGTCCATTTCAGACCCCAAACATACACGTACAAACGCACTTACATAAATACACTTACATAATTGGTCGCATTTGGAGGTGATCGTTAAGCGGGGGTCCACTGTATATATACATGTGGTATATATTATATATATATATATATATATATATATATATATATATTATATATTATATATATATATATATATATATATATAATATATATATATTATAATATAATATATATAATATATATATACATGTATATATATATATATATTACCAAAACTGTTGTCCAGAGGGCTGAGGAAGGGTTTTGAGGTGGTTCGGACATGTAGAGAGAATGGAGCGAAACAGAATGACTTCAAGAGTGTATCAGTCTGTAGTGGAAGGAAGGCGGGTAGGGGTCGGCCTAGGAAGGGTTGGAGGGAGGGGTAAAGGAGGTTTTTGTGTCGAGGGCTTGGACTTCCAGCAGGCATGCGTGAGCGTGTTTGATAGGAGTGAATGGAGACAAATGGTTTTTAATACTTGACGTGCTGTTGGAGTGTGAGTAAAGTAACATTTATGAAGGGATTCAGGGAAACCGGCAGGCCGGACTTGAGTCCTGGAGATGGGAAGTACAGTGCCTGCACTCTGAAGGAGGGGTGTTAATGTTGCAGTTTAAAAACTGTAGTGTAAAGCACCCTTCTGGCAGACAGTATGGAGTGAATGATGGTGAAAGTTTTTCTTTTTCGGGCCACCCTGCCTTGGTGGGAATCGGCCGGTGTGATAATAAATAATAAAATATATAATTATATATATATTATATATATATATATATATATAATATATAATATATATATATATATATATATAATATATATATATATATATATATATATATATATATATATTATATATATATATATATATATATATACATATACATGTGTATATATATATATATATCCAATATTTTCAACAAAATTTATTGATAACATCTCACCCACCTAAATACACTTACATAATTGGTCGCATTGAGAGCTGATCGTAAACTGGGGGTCCAGTGAAACATATAAGTGAACAGTATTTAGATAAGGCTAAAGAGGTCTTTGTGGCATTTATGGATTTGGAAAAGGTGTATGACAGGGTGGATAGGGGGGCAATGTGGCAGATGTTGCAGGTGTATGGTGTAGGAGGTAGGTTACTGAAAGCAGTGAAGAGTTTTTACGAGGATAGTGACGCTCAAGTTAGAGTATGTAGGAAAGAGGGAAATTATTTCCCAGTAAAAGTAGGCCTTGGGACAAGGATGTGTGATGTCACCGTGGTTGTTTAATATATTTATAGATGGGGTTGTAAGAGAAGTAAATGCGAGGGTCTTGGCAAGAGGTGTGGAGTTAAAAGATAAAGAATCACACAAAGTGGGAGTTGTCACACTTGCTCTTTGCTGATGACACTGTGCTCTTGGGAGATTCTGAAGAGAAGTTGCAGAGATTGGTGGATGAATTTGGTAGGGTGTGCAAAAGAAGAAAATTAAAAGTGAATACAGGAAAGAGTAAGGTTATGAGGATAACAAAAAGATTAGGTGATGAAAGATTGGATATCAGATTGGAGGGAGAGAGTATGGAGGAGGTGAATGTATTCAGATATTTGGGAGTAGACGTGTCAGCGGATGGGTCTATGAAAGATGAGGTGAATCATAGAATTGATGAGGGGAAAAGGGTGAGTGGTGCACTTAGGAGTCTGTGGAGACAAAGAACTTTGTCCTTAGAGGCAAAGAGGGGAATGTATGGGAGTATAGTTTTACCAACGCTCTTATATGGGTGTGAAGCATGGGTGATGAATGTTGCGGTAAGGAGAAGGCTGGAGGCAGTGGAGATGTCATGTCTGAGGGCAATGTGTGGTGTGAATATAATGCAGAGAATTCATAGTTTGGAAGTTAGGAGGAGGTGCGGGATTACCAAAACTGTTGTCCAGAGGGCTGAGGAAGGGTTGTTGAGGTGGTTTGGACATGTAGAGAGAATGAAGCGAAACAGAATGACTTCAAGAGTGTATCAGTCTGTAGTGGAAGGAAGGCGGGGTAGGGGTCGGCCTAGGAAAGGTTGGAGGGAGGGGGTAAAGGAGGTTTTGTGTGCGAGGGGCTTGGACTTCCAGCAGGCATGAGTGAGCGTGTTTGATAGGAGTGAATGGAGACAAATGGTTTTTAATACTTGACGTGCTGTTGGAGTGTGAACAAAGTAACATTTATGAAGGGGTTCAGGGAAACCGGCAGGCCGGACTTGAGTCCTGGAGATGGGAAGTACAGTGCCTGCACTCTGAAGGAGGGGTGTTAATATTGCAGTTTAAAAACTGTAGTGTAAAGCACCCTTCTGGCAAGACAGTGATGGAGTGAATGATGGTGAAAGTTTTTCTTTTTCGGGCCACCCTGCCTTGGTGGGAATCGGCCAGTGTGATAATAAAATAATAAAATAAATAATATATATATATATATATATATATATATATATATATATATATATATATATATATATATATTATATATATATATGTAGGTAGTAGGTTGGTAGACAGCAACCACCCAGGGAAGTACTACCGTCCTACCAGATGACTGTGAAACAAAAACCTGTAACTGTTTTGCATGATGGTAGGATTGCTGGTTTCTTTTTCTGTCTCATAACATGCTAGATAACAGGGATATCTTGCTACTCCTACTTACACTTTGGTCACACTTCACAGACACGCACATGCATATATATATACAGTGGACCCCCGGTTAACGATTTTTAATCCGTGCAAGAGGGCTCATCGTTATGCGAAATAATCGTTATGCGAATTAATTTTCCCCATAAGAAATAATGGAAATAAAATTAATCCGTGCAAGACGCCCAAAAGTATGAAAAAAATTTTTTTTACCACATGAAATGTTAATTTTAATACACACAAACTGAAAAAGGCATGCACAATTACATGACACTTACTTTTATTGAAGATCTGGTGATGATTGATGGGATGGGAGGAGGGGAGAGCATTATCTTCTTACTGTTTAGAAGGGGAATCCCCTTCCATTAGGACTTGAGGTAGCAAGTCCTTTTCTGGGGTTACTTCCCTTCTTCTTTTAATGCCACTAGGACCAGCTTCAGAGTCACTGGACCTCTGTCGCACAACAAATCTGTCCATAGAGCTCTGTCACCTCCCGTTTCTTCAAGACTTTCCTAAAATGGGCCATAACATTGTCATTGAAATAGTCACAAGCACGGCTTGCAACAGCTGTGTCAGGGTGATTTTCATCTATAAAGGTTTGCAGTTCAAACCACTCTGCACACATTTCCTTAATCTTTGAAGTAGGCACAATGGATTCCACAACTGGCATAGGCTTCTCAGGGTTTACCCCCAAAACCCCTTCAAAATCTTTTTTAAATTTCCAACAAATTTTCCCCCCCCCTTTTTACCACGGGGTTTTGGCACAAGAACCCTTTCTTGGGGCCATGGCCCTTTATTTTCCAAAAAACCACCACCGAAAACACTTTTAATTTAAAAAAACGAAATATTGAGTGTATGCTTGGTTTGTTCCGCGGAGGCGGCTGGTAAACAATGGGACGGCCGGGCCCCATGTGAGGGCACTTGGACGCGTCTCGGACGAAAATGGGGGTATGGGGGGTTTTTTTTTAATCGGTAGGGCGGGGAAAAAATTTTTGCGAAAAAAAGTAATCGTTATGCAAAAAAAATCGCTATGCGATGCCATCGTTATGGGGGGGCCCCATGTACATACAT